TGCATTGCGTAGTACACGTGTAATTGAATTTAATAGATCTGCCCATTGGCCCCTATCACTTATGCCAAAACAGGTATTTGAGTCAGTATCGGGCTGCTATCCGATATCAGCCCGATACTGACTCAAATACCTGGATCGGTGCATCCCTTTTTACTGTTGGGCATATGATTTGAATAGTGGAAGCAGTCATTGAGGCTCACCTGTTGAAACTCTACAAAGAATCTGAACAGGTTCTTTGCTTTGCCTTTAAAGTAAAGTTGTAAAATTACTTTCTAATCAGAGTTCTTAATTATAGATGTTTTCCAGCTTTTGTTTCTCAGTGACTTAAGTGTGGCATTATAATAGCACCATATCCGTATGAAGACAATAGGACAGGGTTAATATCAGTGTACAGCTTTATTCCTCCTTTTAAACTTCAACCGTAGCTTTGCTATTATTGTACATGACAGATCAGTTACATAAAGATGTGTGTAACTATGTATGAAGAAGCCATGACACTAATTACACGTGAGAAGTTAACTGTTATTATATGAAATCCAAATCTAGGTTCAGGCGTCCCTACTGTAGTTCTTCAATTTTATTAGTTCCTCTACTAACAAATTGCAGTTCTATTTTATAGGTTATGATGATAGGTTATGGTTACGCCCTACCCTTTGGTGGCTACATGTGGCAAACAACACTCCAACACTGACCCAAACTTAACACAGATAAACACCTTTAAAACAACCAAATTAGAGGATTTTTTTAACATTACAAGACGATAAATCAAGAACACCAAAAACACAAGGGCATAATCAGCTGTAGCACTCCCGGTGCAGAATGAGAGGATAGAAGAGGAACATAGACACACTGCACAGGGAAACACATACAGCCGTAACAGTTATGGTATAGTGCTGGAAATGTAATTGACCTATACCAGTCTATCAAAAAAGATGGCGCAATGGATAAGACAAATTCCTTTGGTGGGAGAGACCCGGGTTTGATTCCCACTGTGACCCATCCACCATTGGGTCCCTGAGCAAGACACTTAACCCATCGTTGCTCCAGAGGCGTGCAACCTCTGACATGTATAGCAATTGTAAGTCGCTTTGGATAAAAGCATCAGCTAAATGAACAATTATAATGTAAATAAGTTAGTGCCCTGTGGAGTTGTCTTGTAAACAACATTTTGCATTCTGTGTTGCTCACCAAAATATGTTGTGTTTATCCTTTAGGTCTATTAAATGTGTTGAGTCTACCGCCTTCTTCATAAAGCATTTATAAATTTTTACGTTTCTCGGTACATTACTGCCACCTGTCGATTAGTGGAATAGCGTGAAACCATTGGCAGGAATGTGTAGTGCATTCCAGAGACAAACTAAACGGGTACCATTCTTATATATGTTGCTCCATAGCACTACTAGTGGTCGAAAACTTCACCGGGTACCTTTTAAAAAGTGTCCATTACTTGGGGAAAAAGTGAGAAAGGAATGTCATGCAAAAAAAGACCATAGTCAGATTCTAATCGAGGATGTTACATCTATAATGATAATAATAATAATAATAACAGTGATGATCCAATTACAATTTTTTTATCATGATGAAGAAATCTGAGAACACTGTGCTCAAGCTAAAGCAATGATAACTTGAAGAGTGATTCCGAGAGACATATTCAGGTTTTCATACTAACTATTATAGCAGCTGGTCTTGACAGCTGTAGGATGTCAAGTAAAAAATTGTGCTACAGATTTCCTTCCTCTCTTAATTCACCTTTTTTTTTGGCACCGCCCTTACCTATACCAGAGCCCTTCGAGGATGCCATTCAGTCGCAGTCCCATCCACCGTCCCAGGGGCAAGCCCAGTCCCAGGTGCCTTCTGGTCTTCACAAGGCAGCATCCGTGGACAACTCGAGCCCTCTTCTTGTGCGCTCACTGGCCTTCCGGGCACAGGAGGAGCTGGAAGGCCAAACATGGTACCATGGCAAAATGAGCCGCCGTGACGCTGAAAAACTGCTGAAAGAAGATGGGGACTTCCTGGTTCGTAAAAGCACTACCAACCCAGGGTCCTACGTTCTGACGGGCATGCACAATGGACTTGCCAAACACCTACTGCTTGTGGACCCTGAGGGCACGGTAAGATTAAAGAGCTTGTGGAGTGTGTTTCAGGGAGATACTGTAGATAAAAATGACTGAAGGTCTCAGTGAGCAGGAATGCATAAAGTGAAAGATTTTTCATAGTGCAAGTAAAAATTTAACTTCTTATTAGGCCAAAACAGACATATAACATCTGTTTCTTTTTTCAAAGGTACGGACAAAAGATCATATATTTGACAGCATTAGCCATCTTATTGGCCATCACCGTGACAACAATCTGCCGATTGTGTCAGCTGGGAGTGAACTGTGTCTCCTACAGCCCGTTGGAAGGAAACAGTGATGCTTGCAATGCCTGATGGAAATAGGAAGCTCTGGACAGTCTCTCCTACCATCCTGAAACTTGAAGATGAAACATAAAGAGAAGATGCTTAAAGGCTCTATGCGCTGACAGTGTTGTGGGGAAATTGGCCCGTGGTTACTCTACTTGAGGCACTGGAAAGATTTGTTTAAGATAAAAAACTTATTTATAGAACTGTTATTATTTTGTTGTGATGACTGAAATGCTATATTTTTGAGAAGACATAGGTGCATTTGGACATAATATCTTGATTTGGTGTTTTAAAAGATAAAAAAAGACACTTGTTCTTGTAGTTTAGATGAAGTGCAAATCAAACCTCAAAGAGGTGTTAACAAGAGTATTTTAGAATAAAAACCTGAAATTTTAGTTTTGTCTGTCAAGCACAACCGCATTTATACAGGAAGTGTTGCCTAAGAGGTAGAGGAAACATAAAAAAGTTTGGACAAAAAATGCTGTTTATAATGAATTACTTTAGGGGAAAATGTCCTTTAATCTCACCAATAGTGTGATGGCTGACTCAATTAGTCACTATATGAAATCTGCTTTTATTGGGGATTAGAACTGAATGTGTTTTGCTTTGCAGTAGTCACAGTGTTGGGGTGCAAACAGACATCCTTCATAGTGCTGTCAATGGCTTTAAAGATAAACTTTTTTTTATGAAGTATTTTCTTGTGTCACTGCAGTCGCATGACTTAAAATCAACTGTTCTTGTGGACATTGTTCGTAGACCTTGATACCCCTTTATTTGAAAGAGGTGCTTGTGTATGCTGACACTGTAAAAATATTTATGCTTTTCAACCAGTGACTATTTCTGAATTGGTTTTCTCTGGATTCTTCTTTTAGGTGTGTAGTCAATGATTAATTTTGGGGCTTCAGTCATGCAATGGATATTCTCACACTCTTAATCAACATTTTCGGCATTTTTGTTTAGTTTGTTTTGGTGAACTTTTAAAAAGTAATTGTTTGAATTTGAATGATCACAAATGAATAGCACAATCAGAAAGTTAGATCATTTGATCATCTATCTGTGTCAGTTGTACCAAGACGTATTACCAATGTGTTGAGATGTAATTTAGACTTTTTACTTAAGAGACCGGATTAGACACACGCTGAGTTCGCACAGTGCCCACTCAACACAGAATGTTTAATATTAGCTTACCTTCACTTATTGATGTGTGTGGATATCTTATGGCAAGACTACTGTATCGCCACTAGATGTCATCACAGAAATGTGACACTTGTTTGCCCCTGTCAGTCGCACTCACTTCAGTTCTCTTGTGTCATCACGTATTAGTAGCAAAGGATGCTGGCTGTGTACAGTACAGGGGGAAATCCAACTCTGTAAGAAGCAAGTTTTCAAACATTGTTGCTTGACAGGTCATTTTCATTTTGCAGTCCACTGTACACAATCGTTCCACAGAACAGTTCACTGTATTTCGGTTATACAGACTGTTTTTCTAGAGTGGGAATCAAACTTTTAAAATGGTTTATAGAAATAGTACACAGCAGTTCTGGCAACATACATTTTAAATGCTCTCATCCTCACTATTGCCAGTACTCTGATGGAAACCAAATGAATGGGGCATTGTATTTGATATGCACTGGACCACTTCAATTGAACCAAAATCAGCATGTGTTCAATGAGTTTGACAAGACAGATGCAATGTAATATAACGTGCCTGTATTTTGCTGCAAGAGGAAGTGTACAGTACATGCATCTCACAACAACACACATTTTGGCAAAGAGCAGTACTGGGATTGTTATGAAAAAATCCAGCACCAGATCCATTTTGGTTTAAGCCGATAAGACTTTCTCTGATTCCTTGTGTCTCTTTGAGCAATGTCCGTTTGCAGAGCAACATATTGGCATTTTTTGAGAGAGTGAAGGGCACATGGGATCATTGAAGTGTTTGTTTTTTTTTGACAGTTATCCACCATTAACCTTTACTTTGTCCAATTTGACATAATTTCATCAAATCTAATATCTTGGGAGAAGGAATAATGCTCTAAATTAAAAACAGCGCTATGCTAATGTAAAGAATTCTTTTGAGATTAGTCTTTATTTCTGAAGAGCAAATTTGTAGAATCACCTTGGCAAAATGTGCAAAGTTTTGAAAAAAGCATATACAGTATAGCAGGAACAGCTCCATACTTGAATCTCTCTGCTGTGTGGCATAAAGAAATTATACAACCAAACATGCTGGGACACAAAAAGAACATGGCTTCTTTCCAGATTTCTGTTGATGAAAATGTGCCTTTTATTTGTACAAATGGTATTTTTGTTTCTCTTACTCTCTCTCTTCAAAGTGCAATAGCTGATTTTCAATGGGGCATGCCTGTTCACTAGAGGTTGTGTTTTGCCCTGCTGCGTGTTGCTGCTTGAGACTACCGTTTTCTTTCTATATCTGTCTCTTTCTCTCCCTCCCACCCTCTCTACTATATATTATAAATGTATCATTTCCAGATTCTAAATATAAATCTTTGTCAGAGGGAATCACACAGAAACTCGATATTTTGGAACAGGTATAGTAAAAGAAAAAAGGAAATAAAAACAAAGAAACAAGTCCAAATGATGTTTACAGATTTAATCTTTTGGTTGTATGGGTTTGTCATTATTCTGTATGACTGTTGGCAATAAAACCGTGAATGTGTAGAACCTCTGTTGTTGTCAAAGTCAATAACATCTTTCACTTTAGTGAGTTTTGAGTTGGTAGTCCCAGCATTTAGCCAGTGTCATCACAGTTTTCTCTAAAATATGAAAGGATCAGTTCATCCAAAATATAAATATAAATAAAATTTCATGTTTTCTGACTTACTTTTAGTGATATCTTGCCATGCAAATACTTTTTGTTAATTTGTGCCCAGATTCTGAGATACAAAAATATCCATTAACAGTGTCCTTGTTATTCTGGATAATCCACAGAACACACTGTCCAAAGTTTTAATAGTGGCTTCTTTTGGACAAACAAAGTAGCTGCCATGAAAACAGTTCACAGTGAGGTCTTTGGATTATCCAGAGTAACAAGGATGCTGTTTCTGGGAAGAGATGTTGAATAGTTATTTTTCTCTTCTGTGAGCAGTACAAACAAAAATCCCTTTACCTGCAGAAATCTCGGAGACAGATGTCTCTAAATGTGGATATGTGAAATTAAAACTTCCTGCATGGCTAAATACCACAACAAATAAATGAGAAAGTAATATAAATTTATTAGTGATTTGGATGAATTAACGTTTAAGTTATTTTCTCGAATGAAAAAAAAAACACTGCACATAACAACGCAGAATTGCACTCTTTACTGGGAACATGAGGTGATCCAGGTGAATTATCCTTATATTTAAATTTTTTACACATGACATATTATGTGAAAGCTTATATTTTGCATCATATAAATAGCAGGTAGTGCACTATTCATATTTCACGTGCTGCATTTACATGCCTCTTCCTTCAGTTTACAAGCATCATGCTTTGATACAAATCAGATAAAACACAGATAAACACACACACAACTATTTTAATTTGGTACAAAAAGGAGGACTGAAAAGATTCTGTACTAAACATGCAGCATGTTAAAATTCCTAGGCAGCATTGAGGATATTAACTACCTTTATTAACCAGCAGGTGGAGCTCTGATATCACTTGCAACTACTGATGTTTCTGCATTACCTAATTCTTTGTACAGCGGTAACAGATGCCGTTTGAACGCGATGCTACTGATATAATGAAAAGAGTAGTAGCTTTGACTATTCAGCACATTTTTATCTAATTAACATCATAATGCAGTTTTTATTAAAGTAACTGCACATTGTGATGTAGAATATTACTGAGTAAATACAAAATTACAGAATAGAATACAAAGAATAAATAATTTCATTACACTAATAATTGTCTACAAACATTCTTCATTTCATTATTTTACATAACTATAATTGCACTTTAATTCATTGAAGGTGATTTTTCACTTTTGTTTTACGTGGTCAGGGTGTAACCACAGAGGTACTTATATTTTCTGTCAAGGGTTAAGAGCACCATTTCTTTGCAAATAGTCATTGTCCCGCAAAAACCACTACAAACAATGCATTTTTTCAGATAATCCAATATGTTTGTACATGGCTTATTTTCTCAGCCGAGAAAGGGTTTTATCCTTCAGTTAGCTGTTAAATAACCAAATTTGGAAACACTGGACGGTAATGAAATATGACCTCCACATAACCTGGAGGTGATATTGAACATTGGCCTCATACATTAATGCATCAGTCTAATGCCAAGTGTCAACATTCCCAATCATGAATGACGCAAACTAAATATTAAGTACAAAGGAGAAACCACTGCCAACAATCATCAATCACTCAAATTCCTTTTCGTCACCAATTCAGTCCACTGTGACCACTGCACAGGCCCACAGGACGTTACATTACGACAAACTGACCTTCCTATTGTAGATATCTTGCTCCCTTATTTCAGTCTTTTCTGTCACTCTCAAGGACGGCCTGAGCAGCCCCTCCTGCCACCACCGAGACGTCGCCATGGACCGGGACTGTCTTTTCCTCCTTCTCCAGCTCCTCCTGCCTGGAGCTCTGCTGGTTCTGGTTGGGGTTGTTCTGGCTGCTCCATGACTTGCTCCTGCTGCGGCTGGGCTCCAGAGCCTGCCTGGCTTCTGCGCCGTTTACAGAAGCCTTCCCCCTGTAGCAAATGCCACACACCAGACCCAGGAAGGCCCGTCTCATCTCGCGGCTGGCCAGAGTGTAAATGACTGGGTTCATGGCTGAGTTGAGCACAGCCACCGCAATGAACCAATCAGCCTTGTAGAGAATGTGGCAGCCCTGTTCACATGCCACATCCACCAGGAGCAGGACAAAGATGGGCGTCCAGCAGGCGATGAAGACCCCGACTACAATGATAACAGTGCGCAGCAGGGACATCGCATGCTCAGAGTTTCTGTGCTTGCTCACCTTTCGGCTGCTGGACTTAACCAGGATGTAGATGCGGGCATAAAGGACAGACATGGCTAAGAGCAAAACCATGTAAACTGTAATACAGAAAGCCACATATTTCTTGCTGTAGAGAGGGAGGACTGTGGAGCAATCGGGGAGATTGTCCAGGCAGTTCCAGCCTAGAACAGGCAAAGCTCCAAGAGATATAGCGATCAGCCAGCAGGTCCCTATGAGCAGAAACACTCTGTAGTTCTTGTTGGCATCATAAGGCCTCATTTTTATCATAGTCAGGTGTCTCTCTATAGCAATAGCCAGGAGACTAAAAATGGAGGCGCCAAGTGCTACAAACATGCTTCCCTCTCTGACAAACCAGAGAGCAGGGGAGAGCTGCAGGGTCTTCTCTCCTGACAGGAGCAGGTTGACCAGGTAAGCAACTCCAGCCAGCAGGTCGCACAGCGCCAGGTTGGCGATGAAGAAGTACATGCGGTTGTGGAACCTGTGGTTTCTCCATATGACTACCAGCACAATGAGGTTCTCCAAGACGATGAAGCTGCATATGACAAGGAAGACAATGGTTTTGGCGTCCACAGTGCCAGGGCTTGTGCCAACGCTGGGCCGGTGGTCCAGCTTTCCTGTGTAGTTGTAGTGGAGGAATATCTGAGGATTGATCATCTTCAAAGCACCAGCTCCTGACACTGGATGTCAGAAGTGAGCAAGGAGTCCAGTGTCAGCAGATCCACTGTGTTCAACTGCACTGGAAGATTTGTGCGTGTTATTACAAAAAAGCAGATAATTCATAGTTCAATATTGTCATTATTCAGCAATTCATGTGTTTATTCTGATGGATTAAAACTAAATAAATAAATAAATAACTAAATAATCACCTTTTCCTTAGCATACTCCTTTGGAAACAAGACATTATTAAGACTTGAAAATACCTGCAGAACACTTTTAAAAAATATCTAGGAAACAAAGTCTACACCTTAAAATATACCATGATGCTAGTACATAGGAATCTTGGACCATTACACAAACTACCAGAACTACAAAAGTGAATATGAATATTTATCTTTGACATGAAATTAGCTTTATTGGTAATCACAATCATCCACTGTAGACATAATCGATTTTACCTCACGGTAAATTATACTTCATAGTTGTAATTAACCTACTTGTGCCGATTCGAGCAGTCTAGTAGCCTAAATTCTCAAATGAGAGCCTTCACACAACTTACCGCAGGATGCTCGCAGTCAGGGTTTAGTCGGAAATTAAACGCACACTGAGAGGCAAACATTTCATTTCTGAGTAGGCTATTCTCCGTGTTTCCTAGATTTGATGCTGAACTTTGATTCCGTCTCCCTCGCTCAATGGGAGAGAGCAGCTCCTCATCTTCACTTACGTCCAGACTCCGGAGTTGTCGGCGTCCCCCCCCCCCCCCCCCCCCCCCTCCCTTCCTTCAGCCTGGGCTGGGAGAGAGCTCAGAGGCTTGTACGGCTGAGGGGTGAGTACAATACACGAGGAATATCAAAGCCAGGAGGTATGTGGGAATTCATGTTGTTTTTGTCCCAGACATGTTAGAAAGTCCATCAGAATTATGTTTGGGTTGGGTATTGTACCAAAGCCCCAAAGTAGTTTGTAATCCACTTTCTTTTTTACTAACGTGAGCTTTAATTCCACTGTGCAGCCCTGCGTTGTAGAATAAGAAAAATAAAAGTACCTTGAATCTTGAAAAACAAATGAGATAGTTAAACTTACTAAATAGGATACATATCCAGAAATGATAACTAAATAAACTATATTTTGTGATAATATATGGATTTTTTATATAAACAATTGAGGCCATATGTGCCACAAGGCACAGAAGAGACAGATGAAATAAACAATAACTAAAATAAAATAAAAACAACTTAACTAAAACTAGGACCATTCTGTCTAATAACTAAGTGCACAGTGATATAATGTACAAAGTTGCAACAAAAGCCTTGTTTCTGCAGATTCATTTACACATAATAAGCTTCTAGTTGCTGATTTTCACTGTTTCTACTTCACATGGACAAAAAAGGGAAAGATACAATATATGAAAGAGTTTAAATTAAGATGACTGCTGCCCATCCTTTGTTCTGGTCCTTCTGTCATGACCTCATATCCAGGAAGGATGGGCAGGGCTGGCAGCAAGCAGAAGGACTCAAGAGAGTCTGGGAGGCAGATGATGACTCTTTAAAATACATGTGGTGAAGTGGAATATATACTGCAGAGATTTTAAGACTACCCTGACTAAAACTTAACATAAAACGACCAAAATGTGACAATAAACCTTGTTTTCAAACAAAATCCAGAAATTGCACCAAGAACAACTGAGTCATGAGCATCGTGCGCTGGACTTGTGCACTATGTGGATATGACTCAAACGCTAAGAATATTATTGCTTTACTTTATACGAAGCCCCACATTTAGCTGCTTGCAATTTTCCCCAAATGAAGCACATACTGTACTGTGTACCAGACCAAATCATTAAATAGCAGATCTCTTCCAGTTTCTGTGGTTATTAAGCCGGAGGAATGTTTTGTGTGGTTGAATAAACAGCTGTGGTCTGGCATTGGTCCACCAGCATTGTTACAGTCACAATTCTCAGTCATTTCCTGCAGGTCGCAGTGTGCCAGCAGCAGTGGGAAAATCTCAGGGAAAAAGCCAAATAGTTATACTGGACCCACAGCAAATCTGGGACCAATCACAGTATGTGCCTACGTAAAGGCAGCTGGATTAACAGCCCAGGAACATGGTTGGAAAAACCTTGGGTTTTTCAGCAAACTGCAGTGATGTTGGGCTCACATCTGCATTTACATAAACTTTGAGCCAAATATGAAACCATCTGCAAGTACAAACCGATATTATGTGGTTAGAGTGAGTCTATGTCTATGTGTATTCATAGACTACTGAAGAAAAGCATGGGTCGAGGGTTTTCACTTTTGCAGGACCACCCTCACTAAAATGTTACTTTGTAGGCAACCACTTCTTTGGTTAAAGTAAGACTGAATTTTCCTGTCATCTTTGTCAGCATGGACAGTAATTGAAGTTCTCAATTGCTGCCATTTTCCAACATCAGGAAATGTACGTCTCCCCTAAATCATCAATACACCAGATGTGTGATTTCCTGCTATTATAATGCTATATTATTTAAGTATAAACCTACACGCTGTAACCCCTCATTTCAAAGTAATACACAATATAACTGTCCTTCCCTCAGAGTAGTTGGCCTCACAGCTGGTAAAACCATTCCTCAGGGAAAGTTTCCAGTGCTCAACCACAGCCTGCCCTGGACCTTATACACTACTGTTTCTGTGTGACATTGTCAGCGGTTAGAAGACGTATTCTGAAAAAAAGTCCTGCATTAAAAATGTATTTAAGTAAAAGTACAGTATTATCAGCAAAATGTTCTTAAGAATCAAAACTAAAAGTACTAATTATGCAGCAGGATGTCCCCACGTCAGTGGTATATTGTTATGAAATATTATTATGTCATTATTATTTCTTACACATTAACATATATGCAGCAGGTTAACATTGCAGCTGGTCATGGTGGAGCTATGACTAGTGCTATAGTGTAATTGAGAAGAAGTATGATGTAGCATGAAATGAAAATACTCAATTAAGTACCTCAAAATTGTTCTTAAGTACAGCGCTTGAGAAAATGTACTTAGTTATTTTCCGCTGCTGGTCATTGTTTGATGTTTGACTGTAAAAATAATAAAAATACAATGGAGATTGAAGATCTATCGTATTTCTGTTTGACATATATGTTATTTAAGCAGGACCTGCTTTCTGTTTGTAGATGTAGATGAAGTTTTTAACTAACTCTTGTCATAGGGCATATACAGATCAGGGTATTCATTATTAATCATAATGCAATATAAAAGCAGTGTGCACTCACAAGTGCCTACACATATAAAGTATTCTAAGAGCATTCATAATTGATTATAATGCAGTTTATGTGACTGGTAACACAATAGTCTCATAGTCATTCAAAGCAGAGAACTAATGGTTAAATGAGAATGGCCGGATAGAAAAAAGGGCCCTGTGCTTTAGTACTTTAAGCACATTACAAAATCTATTCGGCCGGCATCACTGGAGCCATTACTTTGCCTGGGTTTGCCCCGTTCAAACTCTCAACCCTTCATTAGAGTGCAAGAGCTGGGGTCAGAGCCGTGGGCAGTGGGCACATCCATGTGCAATTACATGACAACCCTGCCTTTAATTTCACCCTCGCCATTTTAAGGCAAAAACACACCCCGTTAGTCTGGGCTACAAATCTGAGGCGGACCGTCCCCTTCTGCCCTGTGGTTTTGTGGCAGCAGTATTTCTAGGCATGGCGTTCTCTTGCATGCAACAACAGAGCAAGGCCTAGGAGATGTTTCTGAGGCATAATTTGAGCTGTGGCACAGTTTAGTCTAGGATCTGCCAACTTTAGATGGCCACACAAGGTCTTTAGTGCTGCAGGGATATTTAGTGCCTTACCTTTTAGTTATTTCACCATTAAGTGCAACACTTTTAATTTTCCATTTCATTTATATCCAGTGGAGAGTTTAATGGGATGAGTTCATTTATATTCTGCCAGTGGGTCTCTGCAGTGTCAAACTGGCTGGCATTCCCATACAGGCATAAATTTAATGGACTGAAATCACTTAACACCGAACATGGAAAAAACCCAGAAGCCACAGTTTTTCTGTAGTAGACTCATTTTGAGGGCTTCCGTGATAATTGCATGGTTCCCGGCCAAAGGTTACTGCCTGCTCTGCTCCATGTGAGCAAACATAATAATGTCCTCACCTTCCCACACATGCTATCAGAAACACAGTTTAATATAACTATTTGAAATAAAACCACCCAAAATTTTTACATTTAAGCTTCCCATCTATAGAATTTTACTGTGGAAGCATCTTCAACTTGTTCTGATAGTTTTTTGGGTTACCACTTTCTAATAAGCCACCATTTATACAAACAAAATGACGTAACAACGGTCAGTGCAAACCAAAATCACCAACCGATTCAAAATTACATTGGAATCACAGGTTATCCAACCTGGTGACTTTCATCCTGCAACTCATAATATGACTAAGTATGTGTATGGAAC